ATCCATCCATCCATCCATCCATCCATCCATCCATCCATCCATCCATCCATCCAGTTTCTTTCATATCCGACCATCTCTCTAATGAGCTCAGGGTAGCTCCAAATAATCATTAGGCTTGTCACAATTACATGAGTTATAGTTTACTTGATGAGATAGAATTTGTATACCTCCCATCTGCCTGCCAAGGGTACTCTCATATTATTAATGGCTATCAAGTTTCTTGCTGTCAAATAGAAGGTTTTTTTCCCCTCTTCACTTCCAGTAAATGAAAGCCGTTTCTTCATGAAGGTTTGCCTTTCACCTGGTCTCATCTAATTTATTAAGTGCCTTGAGAAACAGTGCTGGAAGAATACTTATAGTGCCATTAGCATGACATAATGCATTTCTTCTTGTAGGTTTCCAAAGAGAATAAATTAGTTAACAGCTACTTATTATAACTGCCAAGCGTTTTACCACAAAAAGATCAATGGACACTCTGAATTTGATGAAAACTCCATTCCTAATGTGACATAAAGAATAACTGGCCTCCAAGCATTTGTCATCACAAGAGCTTTGTAACTCATTTCTGACCAATGACTGTGCATTTTGCTCTGGAAGTGCACCCCCTGAACTGAGTGGGAATTCATCCCCAGCTAAGACTTTATAGGACTGCAGGCTGGAAAATATGATTTTCTTGAGGATTACCAATTGTGGAAACAGGCTACTTTGGCTGGACTCCTACTGCCAATAGGCGCAATCATGCAAGTCTTGGCAGCAAATCGACTCTCATTAATATGGTGCTGGTTGCGCTCCTGGGTGCGCTCCCAAGTGTATGAACAAGTGCATGCTCCACAATGCAACTGGCACCTTAGCAATGAGTGTCAATTTGCTACCAAAACATACATGATTTCTCTTATGCAACCAATAATTGGCAATAGGATTACACCCAGTGAGTTAAATGTGCAATATCACTTAAGATGCATCAAGACAGAAGCATGCACGTCAAATAAACCTCAGAGCACAGCTGCAACTACATTTTAGGTTAAGTAGTCAGAAAAAGAAGGGCCTGACCACTGTTCACTTTCAGAACAAATATCTGCTAAATCTAGATATTTGTACCTGATGGTGAATGATCAAACATCTTAGTGCAAATAAAGATGAGGAACAGAAGCAGCTACTGTACAGCACAGCTGAAGTGAGAGAACATTAAGTTCTAATCCAGTGTTTGGAAGATTCATGGAAGAATGTGGTAGGCTCTGGGATTAGGACACCTGCAGGCTATGTTCAGTGGAGTTTCTTCCCAAAGCTTGGAAAAGTTGCTCCCCCCCCCAACAACTCAGTTGATCCTCCACAAGCAACATGGCTGCTTTTCCTTGGAATAGGAATTTCTGTTTAAGTTCTGTTTATTCAGTGAGTTAGGTATCTCGCTGCAGAGCCCTGGATTGGGAATCCAATGCCCTATGGTGCTTCCAGTGAGCAGAGCCAGCCAGTATGGCCTTGGGCAAATTGCACAGGTCCAGGATGCCCCCCCCCCAAAAGAAGGGAATGATAAACCACTCTTCCAAATACTCTCTATCTGGGAAAGCCAGAAATGGCTTTCCCAGCCATGGGGAACGAACGAACGAACAAACAAACGAACGAACGAACGAACTAACTAACTAACTAACTAGCTAACTAACTAACTAACTAACTAACTAAATAACTAAATAACTAAATAACTAACTAAATAACTAAATATGGGGCCATAAGAAGTCAGAATTGACTTGATGGCATACGATGATTACTATAAAGTTCATATAGGCTTGTGGCCTGCACTGCAACCAGGGTGGAAGTGGAAAATGACTTAGCTTTTGCCAAACAGAATGGTAAAATTAACAGGTGGAAAATATGCAGTGTGAATAACAGAAAACCTGTGGCAGAAGGAGATCTATATCTATATATATTTGCTTTGATTAGCCTCAGTTTGGCTAGAGTCTCTGCTAGCATAAAAAGTCTGTAGCTGTGGAGTAAACCTGTGTCGGTCCAAACTTCACCTCACCATACATTATGCATGCTATTGATTATTATCACTTAATTAGATCAATTCAGTTCAAATTTTCCTGAAGATGAGTGTATTTCATGTGTAACTTTTTAAAAAGGTCATCCATATATAAGGAAAAGATTTAAAATTGATTCAAAACCACTCTCTGACAGTAGTGCCTAAAGAGAATAAACCTTCTACTCAAGTTTTTTACAGTTGAATAAACCTTTTGCTGTATTAACCGGAGCTTAAATAGTTGTTTCCCAAGACTACGAGCCTCCAAAACCTTCTAACCAGCAGGCCCATGGGATTCTGGGAGCTGTGGTCCAAAAAAAAATTGCGTTTTGACCCTGATTCGGTGTAGGTTTGCCCAAAGTAGATCACAGTTGTCACTTCCAGGATGCTGTGAAAAGTCAGAAAGCAAAAAATCCCAGCCATACTTAGCTGCGGCATCACCAATGACCTCAAGCTGTGCAATGATACAATCCATTAGCAGTTCTGTAAATCGTTTAGTCTTGCTTTGAAGCTTAATGTAAGCCTAGGAGCTCTTGCGCTGTCTCTCCTCCCTCCCTCCCTCCCTCCCTCCCGCTCTGCTTAGAATGCTACAAACGATTAGCCACAAAGATCATAACACGGGCTTCTGTTTATATTGCCAAAGCAAACATCATTTCTGTAGTTTGTTTTATACAGAAGTAAGAAGGTTGTAATCATACTACTTCAACTTGTGCAGAAATCATGCATAGTGAAATAATGACAGTTGCAGCATGCAGATTAGAACCGGATTTGGACTAGAGATGGGCAGATGCGTAGAGTTCCACTCTGTTTGAGATCTGTGTACGTTTATTTATGAATCACCTCTGTCCCGCTTCAACATCATTCTTGGGATTTTTTTGAACCCACACAAAAATACTGAACTGTGCACTCTTCTGTGGCATGATTTTAAAATAGGCATTTTATAGGCAACACACAATAAGCAATATTTTTAGGGCCTAAAATATGCATTTTGTTCACACTGTATACTAAATTATATATTTTGTACACATTTTACCCTATGAACACTACCCCAAAATATAACATCTATATGCATTTTATAGTAACATACTCATTGGCTGATACCCCTTGTCTTTGTGTAGTAAGTTGCACTAGGGTACTTCAGCATAGTAAGTTAAAGTTACAACTAGCGTAGTCACGGATGAATTAATGGAATTTTTGGAGGGGTGACACACAAAATCCCCACTGATTCAGTGGAGCTGCTTGTGCAATGTACTACACTAAGCACTAAGATTTCAGCCATGGTTATTAGAAAGATAGAATTATGCCCATAGCCATTAGAAGTCCACTGGAGTACAGATGGGGCAGGCAACATTCAAAATGTATACTGATGATATTTTTCAATTTTAATAAAATATACAGAATCTTTTCCCCAAATCTTCAAATGTGTTGTAACCATTCAGCAATGTATCAAGATATAAATTCAATCTCATTGAACCAGATTAATTTCTACTTAACAATTGAAACATAATTTCCAGATTGCCAGAAGCCACTGGCAATGGTGCGGCTAAAAAATATTGTAAATAAATATATTGTAAATAAATAATTATCCTCATGGAGTAATAACCTATGGGAAGATGAATAGTATCAGATTTATTGGACTACAGATGGATATACCAATACAGTACTCTGATTTGAGGATGATGAAAGGGAATAAATCATCATCATCATCATCATCATCATCATCATCATCATCATCATCATCATCATCATCATCATCGAAATGACTAGATGGGTGGGATAGAAATGTAATAAATTAAATAATTAAATAATTAAATAAATAATTAAATAAATACATAAATTAATAATAATAACAATAACAATAACAATAACAATAACAATAACAACAATAATAAAAATGAACAACATACTTAGGTTTTTGGTTAAAACTTGTATCTGTTATACAATACCAGTCAAAGTTTTTATAATTCTGATTTTACTGTGCCTGTTTTTTTAAATAATAATAATAATTCTGCAGGAAACAATATTGGATACTGGACTTCATACGTAGCTTTTATGCTGGCTAAGCAAACTACGAAAAAAGTCTATTTTTCATGGGAGACTTTTCCCAGTTAATCCCTGCAATTTCCTATGCCCATACAAACACACACTTTATTTACCCGGAAACAAATAATAGCATATGTAATACCTGTGTAGCTTGAGTGTAACAGTTCCATAAAGAGTAGTGAATCCCAAAAGACGAACCCATCGTAGGAGAATACAGCGATATACACTTGGTTCAAAGTACAAGATGACAACCTATAAAACAAAAGGACATTGCGTATGTGGCTGAATAACAGAAAGTGCTTGCTGGTTCATAGGCAGAATAGAGGTGCTCTATATGTGTGTTCTCCTTGTTTGAGCCCCTCATGACTAACATCCGCAGATGAAAACTGCATATAGACAAAAAAATCTCAAATTCAGAATATATTGTAAAAGCACAGTGGGAAAAGAACTTTTTAAAAGACTTTTACTCTCAGACCCCCAACTAGCATGGCCACTAGCCAAGGTAGTGGAGGGACTTTGGAAGTTGTATTCCTAAAGTAACGTTTCCAAGTTTTGGGCAAGATCACATCCTGGTGGGCCTTGCCAGTTTGCATGGGCTCTAGCAAATGCTGCCACATGCTAAGGGTGGATTTTGGAGACAGCATTCCAAAATCTGGGGACAGCCACCAAGAAGGCCCTTTCCTCTTGTGTCGCATTTCATTACAACTGGCAGGAGAATGCAGAACTCTACTTCCATTGATCATCTTAGTGTTGAGGGGCAAAGGCAATGGCATGTTTGCTTGTTGCATTACTGTAGCCTTCTAACCCACATGAAGTCCCACATGAAGATCTGGACATTTGGGGTGACACCTTTCAGCAACCTCCATTTCTGAGTTCATGATTGCTTTTTTAAAAAACAGCTTTCAACATCTAAACTGAAGGAATGTAAAACAGCAGTCAATTCCCTTCAACTACACAACAATATTTCACAAAGAAATAAAGTCCGTTACTTATAATATAAAATAAGCACCCATGCTGACATGAAGGTAATAACAATAAACAAATTTGCTACCTGTATGGCTCAATTACATGGTGATGTGCCTGCTTAACTAAGAATGAATGCTTAACAAACTGTCTTGAAAGATAAAGCATAGCATCTTCCCTTCTAGATAATTTATAATCATAGCTTTTGTTACATGTAGGCTTACAGGAAAATGTATCTTTCTTTTTCCTCCAGATGATCCCTTTTGTTTTGTTGTCTGCTTGTGCATTTGCCTCAGAACCGAACAATAAAGGGGGAGCATTTATACTACAGAAAGTTTTAGCAAGGATCTAGATTTGCTATGGCTTAAAGCAAAAGTGTGGGAAATAGCCTTTTGAAAGTCTCCACATCTTTCTGGGAGAGTGATGAGGAAGGGTAGAAATTTACCAAATTTCTCCACAAGAACATTAAATCTTATAGTCCCAAGAGTTCCCCAATAGCTTTGGCAGTGGCCACCATTTTGTATCTTCTACAATGTCCTAGACCTAGTGGAGAGGGAACGGTGGAAAATATTCAGGGGGGGAAAAACCGAATGAAGTTGCCTTCTTTTTCTAACATGGGTTGAAGTTAGAAAAACATTGGACATAAATCAAAGTAAATCAATTATTCTGATTGGTGGTGGCAATCAAGACCCATAGCATGATTCTTTCCCAGCCCTACCACATGATCATCTCTTTACAGGAGAATTTGGCTATTTCTCATAACTACCATTTGGTAAGAAAATATTACCAAACCATCTGTGTAATTTTCCTTGGAGACGGGACAAAAGGAGGAGGGAGCAGACCTCCAGCCTCTACGCCTAATCCATTGGCCAGAGGTTGACCATCTGACCGGCACAGGAACACCCCTTTCCCCTCTCCAAGCTTGGAAGATAAGGATCTTCACAATTTCTAGTCACTGACTGGGGTGGTGGTGGATTTCCTTCCTGACTTTGTTCTTTGTGGTCCTTTGCCATGTGGGAAAGAAGGAGGTCTAAAGATAGCTGTGCTCTCTGAAGGCTCTTTCCAGGGCCACCTGACAGCACTTCACTCCACCTCGTTCTCTGTGCAGAAGAGAAGGAAAGGGAAGAAAACTGACAACTCTATCACCTAGGCTTATGCTCCTCCTCTCCCTTCACTACATCAAAGTACATCTCATTACAGGAGAAATCTGCAACCAGTCAGTTGGCGTGCCTGCTCAACCTGCTGGCCCAGGTGCTAACCACAAATGGCCTCCCCTGGTCTTCTTTCGCATTTTTCTCCATCTAGAAACAAGGCATGAACTGAATGGTCCTTCAAATACCATCTGCAAGAAGCTGTTGATTTTATGTTAAGCCATATTTCCCATCCCTGTACCAAATATGCTACACTTTGTGTGCACAAAGACATCGGCTAGGATAGAAAAGCAACACTTAAGAGGCTTAAAAAGGCACACATGCATTTTAAAATTATTTGAGCTATACTGCAAAATGATTTGAATCACTGTTCTCTGTGCAGCAGGAGAAACTGTTGTTTGAGGGAAAACAAACCATAAATCCCTTAGCCACCTCTAAGTTATTCCTTGATTTTTGTGTGTGTTCTTATTTTTCCTTCAAATGGCCATGGTATTATGGCTGTTGATTTTATGTTAAGGCATATTTCCCATCCCTGTACCAAATATGCTACACTTTGTGTGCACAAAGACATCAACTAGGATAGAAAAGCAACACTTAAGATGCTTAAAAAGGCACACATGTATTTTAAAATTATTTGAGCTGTACTGCAAAATGATTTGAATCACTGTTGTCTGTGCAGCAGGAGAAACTGTTGTTGGAGGGAAAACAAACCATAAATCCCTTAGCCACCTCTAAGTTATTCCTTGATTTTTGTGTGTGTTCTTATTTTTTTGTGTGTGTGTGTTCTTGTTTTATGTCCATAGAACTGGCTGGACTGTTTAGGGGTTTAGGTATTTGGCTGTGGAGCCAGAGGTTGGGAGTTTGATTCCCCATGGTGCCTCCTGTAAGTAGAGCCAGCCTGTGTGGCCTTGGGCAAGATGCACCGTCCAAGGGTACCCTCAGAAAAAGGGAATACGTAGTACTCTCTACCTGGAAAACCTTGGGAAAGTTCCACCATAAATCAAAATTGACTTGATGGCATGTGATTATATCCACGTATACAAATGTTAAGAAGATAACATGCAATATCATCACAGCTAGAATGCACTGAAAATAACAGCGAGCATTTTCACCTGTTTCCTCTCCCCAGAATAAGTTTGTTGGTTAACTTAAAGCATTTTTAGTTATTGAAACAATATTAAAGCTTCTGCCAACTTCAGATGTAAAAAGTTAATTACAGGAGAGTAAACTGTGAGAGATACAGGAAAAAAATCAAAGTATGAAACTCTAATTACTTTTCTTGCTGTACTGTGGAGAGCGTATTAAAGGGAAAATGGTGTCCTTAAATGTCATCTCTCAGCTAATAAGTATCATAATAATTAATGGGTTTCTCAGGAAAGTTGCATAAGGTCAGTTCTTTTAAATTCTAAATAAAGCCAATGAATGAGAGTTTCAAAAGCATCCTGGTGGTTTTGGAGCATACTTTCCAAGTGGCATTTGTTTTAATTGGGGCAACATGTTTATATTTCTGGCAACCAGATCCCAAGCAAATAATACAGTTAGGGAAGGAATACAGTTATTTTTTTGTAGTTACTTTAAAGAAGAATTAATTTCTGTTATCGTTATGAAAAGCTTGTTAGTTTTCATTGTAGCGCCCAAAAATTAAAAAAAAAGAATATTATTTCCAATTTCCAAAAAATAATTATAACTAGCTTTTAGTTACCTTAAAAAAATCTGATTGCTCTGACCCACTGGCCAGGAATAGAAAATATATCTATGTAGCCTAAGAAAATTATTTAACAACAGCATCCCAGTGTAGCAGCTTGAGGCACAGCATAAACTTCTGGCCCTCCCCCAGCTCCTCTTGAACCATGTAATATTCCTTCTCCACTATCATGTGAGCCCACATCTCTGTACCTATAACTGTACCTATAAAAGCCACCGAAAGTTACATTGAAAAAAAGAGTAAAGCTATTGCTCCTAATGTTCCGGTCATAACGTAATGCAATTACATCGCCTTTGTTGAGGAAAAAGAACTAATCATGAATAGCTGGTTATCTGTAAACAGTAACTTCCAAAATCTTGTGAAGGAAGTGTTACTGATTTTGGAGGAATGTCCTTCCGGCTGATACAGCTTCATGTGCACCACAGTGATGGTGTTATAGTCAGTGGCAAGTTACTGTTGATTAAAGGAATCTTTTGGGGATTTGGGGGTGCACCAAACTTCATTGTGTTATATTGTGTATGAGTTGAGTACACCCCAAAACTGCTCTCCATCCATAGTAGTTTTCTACTGCTAACATTATTTCCATTGAATACACAGAGCTCTGTAACAGGATGACAGCCTTTAAGGTGGTTGGCAACTCGGCCACAGGAGCTTTTCCAAGGCCCCACAGTGGTTTGTTAGCATAACTGGCATACATCTGGGGCAGCCCTGCAACCTAAGGGTTTGTCTATCTGTTGGTCCATCTGTGCATATTAAAATAATAAATATAAGATTCCATGAAAAGTCTCTCCTTCCCACCAACCCCCCCCCCATAAATGCTCATGGTGTTTGCCTTGATCCAATCAAAAAAGCACATTTACTGCGGTTGTGTGCATGACATCTGTGTGCGGTAGGGATTGTGTATCAATTCAAAAGCTGGACCTTTTGGGCGTGAACCCAATTGTGCGTGCACACTACCTTGTTCTAAGGAAGTAAAAGAGGCAGCCCTGGTGAGTGTGTACAATAGCCACTAGAGACCTGATATTTAAAGGGGAGTGTTACACTGAAAAAAGTTAGCTTGAATTGGGGGTGCTGAGCACTTCCAACAAATATAGCTAAGATTTAGCTGACCTTGTACCCAAGGAACATTGCCAGATCATATATGTCACTGGTCCACATGTAGGCTTTGTGTATGGGGTGCAAATTATAGATGAGAGTGGGGCAGGAGGCCAGATGGGGCAGGAGGCCAGATAGGGCCCTCTCTCCTATCATACCTATAAGGTTAGATTCATACTAAAATGTATGCAGTTGGGCTGGCAGAAGAGAACTTCTCTGTCACTGCCTCCCCAGAGCAGAGCTTCAAATTGCCAGACTACACAGAGAATGAAGGAACCCTCTTCATGTGTGGCATGGCTGCGGATGCAAGAGAAAAATGCTGAAAGGGGAGAAGAGGGCAAGACCTTCTAGTTATGCCAGCCTAGCCGCACCCACCTAAATCTCAATCCAATGTACATGCATCCTATTTCTGCCGATCAGCACTGTCTTACGGCATTAGGACTGTGCAAGAAGCCACTACTGAGTCTTGAGGCAGACAGAGCAGACTTGACAAGAAGAGATTGTGGCTTAAAAGCAATTATGATTGTGCTAAGTGGAACAACTGATGATAGACAGTGGGACAGAATCAGCAGCAGAAGATAATAAATAGTGGCAGAAATTAAACACAGCATGCCTTTCATCTAGGCCTTGTTATAAGCATGATAGGCAAAGCACTGCAAGCTGGCACAAACATCTTGGGTGGGAAGATCAAATGTTTATTTCAATCTGAGAGATTAAAAACTGAGTTATCTAATAGAAAACGGTAGTGTTACCCTGTTTACCCATGACAAAACCTGATCAGTGTAATTATTTATTTATTTATTTATTTGATTTATACCCCGCCTATCTGGTCCGAGAGGACCACTCTGGTCCTTCTTCCTCCCCCACTTTTCTTAATGGTGGGCAAATATACCATACAATAGGAAATTGACAATAAACAGGTAAAAGCGAACTTGAACATAATTGTGATCATTTAAACGTTGGCTGAAATCATGCAGTGGCAAATTCTTGATGATTAAAAGCTTCCTTTGACAATTTCAGGGTGCACCTGACTTTGTATATAAGTCATATGCATCTCCAAATCACCTTTAATTAGCAGCAATTTGCCTTTGCTTAGCAGCAATTTGCCACTGACAATGACACTCTTATCATTGTGTATGCAGAGCTGCGCAACAAGATTCTAGCCACCAGGTTAACATTCCAGAGTTCTGCATTCACATGGCAGAACTTGAAAAGTTACTTTAAACCCCCCTCCATTCTAAATTTTATATATTGCCATTGCTCCCAGCAGTGCCTAAAAGCAACTCATCATTGCTTGTTGTTTTTCTTATTACTTTTCACTATTTTTGTTCTTTTTTTTTGAAAAAGAAAACTTAGCTCAGCAAAACCTGATAAAAGAATGGCATAAGAAGTTAGGGGAAAATCCTATTAAAATGAAGTAATAACATAATCATTACACAGCGGGTCCTTGCTCACTTATTGATATTAATTGTAACTTGTTATAAACAACAATATTGCTTATAACATGTTGCTTCTTAGCTCTGGGCATGAATACAGAGGCTGATGAATAAGGCCAGCAAAGCTGGTATCAGAACCGCTACAGAGCTAAAAGAAACAAAAGTTCAAAATGCCCAAGATTGTTGAGCCTGGTATAAACCTCCCGGCTCTTAACTTGCACTGAGCTAACACATCTGTCTTCAAAAGTTCCACAATCCATGGGGCGAGTGTGCTAGTGCTGTCACTGTGTGTGGCATGAACCTCCAGAGAAACAGAAGAGTTCCAGACCACAGAGTCCTGTCTTTTTAAGGCTATCCACTTTATAGAATGAAGGGGGTACCTGAGAGGCAGTTTCTGGACAGAAGCATAAAAAAACATCAACAGAAGCAGGGCGGCAACCTTGTCAGAACTAGTTGCTTACCAGGAACAATACAAGGTCCCGAAACATATGAACAAAGGAAGCCACATACAAACCACTGTTTGTCCATTACTGTAACTCTGACTGACATCAGGTCCTCAGTATTTCAGGCAGGATTCATCCCTCGTCCTATTTGGTGCCCCCTGGTATTTCCTAATGGTCTCCTACATAGGGCCCAACACTGCCCAACAACTTCCTCGGTCAGATAAAATTGAGTGTATTCATGGCAAGCTGGATAGCTCAGTGAGTCAGAGCACCTGGCTGTGGAGCCATAGATTTTGAGAGTTCAGTTCCCCATAGGATAATCTTGGGATGGCAGAGTTGGAAAGGACCAAATGGTGCATTGAGTTCAGCCACTGTCAAGGAGGTACAATGGGGAATTGTACTTCTAGCCTCTGGCTCCCTAGCCAGATCCTAATCCACTCAGCCTATGTAGATTTGTGCAAGCTAAACATTTCCAGAGTGTCCCCCAGAAGGAAAAATTAAACTATTTCTGAGTTCTTTACCTATAAAACCCTGAAAAAGGACGGACACACACACACACACACACACACACACACACACACACACGTATGTATGTATGTAGGTAGGTACTTTTGTAGGTAGGTAGGTAGGTAGGTAGGTAGGTAGGTAGGTAGGTAGGTAGGTACTTTTGAATATGTACATACACACACTCTGCACAGAACAATACAGGAACTGGTATTAAGTAAGCCACCCCAGTTGGCTATGTCAAGCACAAAGCTGCAGCATTTGTATCCTTCTGTTTCCTACTAGAGGAGCTGGCCCTACCACTAGGAAGTACTGTCCAAAAAAGTAATGTTTCTAAGCTGTGAATTGTGATGCCATGGCTGCATATTTCTAGTTACTGCAAAGAGAGCATAGACAGAAGAACCTTGGCGGATGACTTAAGAGTGAGGAAAAAGTGTTGTGGGTGCTAACATGTTTTTAGGAACCTGATATATAGAAAGAACTTTTATCTGTGACATGCAGTTACTCATTAGGAACTCTCCTACATGCTGAAATATAGGCACGAGAAGCAGACATACATTGAGTCTGCTTCTTGTGCCTATATTTCAGCATGTTAAGCCCCATAGGTTCCTGGAAGCTCTCGTTGTACCTCCTGCCTTTCCAGAGTCACTTTCTGGTTGCAGAACAATACAGTGCTAGAAGAAAACTAGATGTGGCCAGCAACATCTTTCCTTTACATGTTCCAGAAAAACAATCTGTTCTTTAAGGTAGGTGTTCTTCAAACCAAAACAACTCAGGACTCTTTCTCTTCTTATGCTGTTCTCCAGTGTGCCCACATACAGCAAAAATAGAACTGTCTTTGCTGAACATAAGGTGACAATGTATGGTGTATGATGGGGTGGTGACAGCGGGACAAGAGCAAATTTCCCTGTGTTACAATAAATGCAGCAGGCAGACCACAGTATTTTAGTCTATACTTTCTCTTTCTCAATACTGTATTCTCTTGGCTGGTTTGGGGGAAAAATGGTATGTTTCTCATAACAACAATAAGCCCAATTTCTCCCATTTTTTTCAGCCACTAAAGTGAAGTCCCTGGATCAGACACATAACTCAATATCCCGCCTTTTGCCCTTTAAGAACACAAAAGTGGTAACTCACCGGGAAATAAAGAAGCAGTGACCCAAACAGGATAGTCTCCAGGAGAATGAGACCCGACGCCCTGATGCTCTAGAACAGAAACAGACAGGGAAAAGAAATTAGACGGACACAGCCATGATGGCTTTTTAATTTACTCTCTAGAATATTTACAATTAAAATGCTCACAGTTTTGTAATGTGAACCCATTTGGACTGACTGGGTCGTAGATTGTGAGCAAGCTCAGTATATTTTACCCTGTTTTCAGCAGAAGGCAAACAAACAACTAGCAAATTGATTGGCAAATCAATTAATCTAGACACTGAATATTGGGATCTAAACCATAGTCAGTTCCCAGTTAATGGATTTGCCTGCTTGTAAGTTATCTGCAGGTACCCAGTGTGATGCAGTGGATGCAGCATGAGACGTGGGTTTGATTCCCCATTTCTGCCATGGAAACTCACTGGGAGATGGAACTGGTAAAAGCAGTTAAGGAGTTAAATACCTCACTTAACTTGAAAACCCTATTAGTGTCCCTACAAGACAGTTCTGACTTGATGGTACAAATAACTACAGTGGTGCCTCGACTTACAAACTTAATCCATCCCATAAGATGTTCTTAAGTCGAAAAGTTTGCAAGTCAAATCAGCATTTCTCATAGGAATACATTGAAAACCTATTAATCCATTCCAGCTGTTTTTTGTTCGTATGTAGAGGCACGGTTTGTAAGTCAAAGCATTAGTTCCCATAGGAACTAATGCAAAGCTGGTTAATCTGTCCTCTACCACTAGTTCCTAGTTAATATGCTTAGGGTTGCAGTGTTAGCCTCACTGCTATCACAATAGTAAAAAGAAGCTGAAATGTTTTGTGGATCAATGAAACATAGACAGTCATGATATCCATGATGGAAAATGATAGCAACAACATATGTTTCTTCCATAATTAATTCTCAATTAAGTCACATCTATGTAAGTGTCTTAATAGACTATGTAGTTAAAAAAACTACTGCATAAGCAATTATAAAATTGCATCAACATATGGTAAAAAATCTTATCCCACAGCAGGGTTCCCCCCCCTTCTATCACTGTAATTCTCTACATGGAGATTTTCAGTACTTCCTAGTTAATATGCTTAGGGTTGCAGTGTTAGCCTCACTGCTATCACAATAGTAAAAAGAAGCTGAAATGTTTTGTGGATCAATGAAACATAGACAGTCATGATATCCATGATGGAAAATGATAGCAACAACATATGTTTCTTCCATAATTAATTCTCAATTAAGTCACATCTATGTAAGTGTCTTAATAGACTATGTAGTTAAAAAAACTACTGCATAAGCAATTATAAAATTGCATCAACATATGGTAAAAAATCTTATCCCACAGCAGGGTTCCCCCCCCTTCTAATAGTGCTCTCCTGGCATAATTTGTCCCTTGCTCTGGCTGTCTTTTCTGGTCATTATTTGTACCCTTATCTCCCTTTTATCAGCTATCAACAATTCTTTCCGCTGGGCCTGGAGGTCCAGAGGCCTAGTACAGCAACAAACTTTATACAGTAACAGAATTTTCTATTGTCACTGCACCTTCTGTAACTAAAAGAGCTTGGAATACAGAATCTGTCTAACTGCCATTAGGACAATAAACATTGTTATCATGACTAACATTTTGCAAAGCCTGGAGGAAAAAAAGGAGGTATAATATTTTATTTATTTATTTATTTTATTCATTCGATTTATACCCCC